CATCCTTGGAATGATACCTTTTTTCTTTTTTAACTGAGGTATAATCGACATATAACATATCAGTTTCAGGTGTATAATGCAATGATTTGAAACGATCACCATAGAAAGTCTAGTTGACATCCATTACCATCCATAGTTACAAAATTTTCTGACGGTGAGAACTTGTAAGATTTACTCTCTTCGCAACTTTCAAATATGCGCTGTAGTATTAACTGTAGTCCATATGCTTTATACCACATCCCCATGGCTTACTTATTTAATAACTGGAAGTTTGTACCTTTTAACCCCTTTCATCCATTTCACCTGGCTCTCCCCCCCAAACCTCGGCCTCTGCCACCCACCAATCTGTGCTTGTATATATGAGCTCCACATATATGTGAGATCACATGGTATTTCACTTTCTCTGATTTATTTCCCTTACCATAAGGCCCTCAGGGTCCATGCATGTTGGTGCAAATGGCAGGATTTCCCTTTTTTTTTTTTTTTCATAAATGATGTGTTCTTTAGTTACTCATCCATCAGCGGACACTTAGGTTTTCACATCTTGGTTATTGTAAATACCGCTGCAGTGAACATGGGCGTGCATATGTATCTTTTCAAATTAGTGTTTTCATTTTCTTTGGATAAATACCCAGAAATGGAATTGCTGGATTTTACGATAGCTCTCTTTTTAGTTTTTTCAGGAACCTCCATACTGCTTTCCACAGTGGCTGTACTGATTCACATTCTGTCAGCAGTGACAAGGGTTCCCTTTCTTCACAGAGAATCATTGCCGTATTTGCCATGATACTGTTATTGCCCTAATAATAACCACCTCCCTCTCCACCCCCCCAAAAGGAAGTAGCTAGAGTCACAGAGTTATAAAACTGGAAAAGTACACAAAACACATTTTTGACATTTAGTTTACAACTAAGAACAGTGATTTGGTATTCGACTCAAGTCGCTCAAGCACATTTGCCTGTTAGTGGGTGAAAACAGTTCAGGGCAAATTTAACTGTAAATATTAAATCCTACCAAATGATCTGTATGATAGTATTAGAGTGAGGGCTTGGTACAGAAAAGATAAAGGAGTATTAGAGTAGGACAGACAAATGAGTCATTTCTTAGTTATAGTCCCACATCCAGCAAGAGGTGACAGGCACATTAGGAGTTTTGAAGTTTCTGGGAGTTAGAAACAAGAATATGTACAAACGTGGAGAGAAGGTGAAATCAAGTCTGACTTTGTGGGGCAATAGCATGTCCATGCAGGACAGCTTTGGATGATATCCAAAAACCGATGAGACTTTTTGACATGCATACATACATGCAGAGCTCTAGAATGAACTGAAAATTTGCTGGCTGGGGACTTTCTGGAATAAGAGAAATCAATGCACTAGACTTTGATCCAAAGTAAATTGGACAGTATAAATGCTGGGAATTGTGATGCAAGTCTCTGTAAGAAGACTCTCTTACAGTTTTAGCTACCTTCACAGAGCATATTTATGTCTATGAAAACTAATTTGAATAAACTAACTGAAATGGATTATTCTGAAGGAAAAGGTAAAGTTAAACTAATTGTTTTTCACTAGGGCTTTGTTTATAAAAGCACACAATACTGGAAGGCCCCTTTGCCTTGGCGCATTAACTTGTCATGAGAATGTTTCATGTTTTTTTGATTGAATAAATGTTTAAAATACTGGTAACATACTTTTCCTTAACAGTTTATAAAAGTTTGAATACTTGTGTACACTGAAGCTCTGAGAGTGGAAAAAACCAACTGGGATAAAGACCTGTCCCCCATGTCTGTTATTAGTGCCAAACCCAGAAGTTCTAGTCTATTTGTTTTCATGTGCAGGCCCTCTGTGGATTCAAAGCAATCATTTAGACTGGGTAAGGTTGGATTCACCTTTTTGACCCTTTGTTTCCTGGTCTGTAAAATGGGACCAGATTGGATGAGCTTGAAGGTCTCACCCAACACATATTGTATATAACATGCTCCCCTTAAGTGAGGGCTGGGGTTAGTGAATGTGATGGGATAGCACTCCCACGATTGAGGTGAGCTTACATAGCAGAAGGGATTTTGCAGATGTAATGAAGGTTCCTAATTAGGTACCTTCAAGTTTATTAGAAAGGACATTGTGCTGGGTGAGCATGACCCAATTGGGTGAGTCCTTAAATGGAATTGGGTCCTTCCTGAAAGAAGAAATTTGAAGTGAGAACAGCCCTGCTGTGAACTGCCTATGAGGAATCCACACAGCAAAGACCTGGGAGTGGCCTTTAGGAGCTGAGAATAGGCTCTGGCTAATAGCCAGTACAAAATCGAGGACCTCAGTCCCACAGACACAAGGAAGGAATTGTGCCAATAATTTGAATGCACTTGGAAGTGGATCTTTATCCAGTTGAGCCTCCAGGGAGGATACAGTTGGCTGATGGCTTGATTTTAGTCTTGTGAGACCCCAAGTAGAGAAGCCAGCCATGCTGTGCCGGCATGCAAACCATGAGATAATTTGTATTGTTTTGAGACACTAAATGTGTGGTAATTTGATACATGGCAATAGAAAATTTACATGCTCTGTTTTTATTAAACACATGACTCCCTGAGGTCACTAGACTATGGCTGAGACAGTAGCAACACACCATACTACAGTGTGATGGATAATTTCTCAGAAGGTTGATGCTGCGCACCAAAATCTTCTGTCAAAGTAAGCAGTACATCAACCCATACATTTCAAACTGCTTTCAAAGTAAGGTCTGTCTGTAGCTTATGATACCAAGAAACTTAACTTTTCCAGCCAAGGATCTTGAGTGGCTGTTGTGTTTTGTCACCTCTGCTTCTCCTTATCTCTTCCTGATTCCTCTCCTGCTGCTGAAGTGAAGGTAAAGCGTTGAGACCTGCCCTTTCAACATTTTAACCCATTACTCACACATGGCCATTCTGGGTGGTTGTAACAGGCATGTACTAGATTTGGGAGACTCTCGGCTGTGAAACCAACTAGCCACATGATCTTGGAAAAGAGAATTTACTTCTTGGGGTTTTGGTTTCCTTATTTGTAAAACATAAGACCTTTTGCCTTATTCCAACTGTTCTGGGTCAAAGGTGCATAGACAAACCTGTAGTTCAAGGACCAAATTCTCCCTTTTAGACTTGAAAATGTGCACCTATCTTGCCTCTATTGGTCAGAGAGATGTTCCTCTATACTCTTTCCAGTTGAACCGATTGTCTCAAAAATGCTTTACCATGTGTAAGAGATTAGTCTTACTTGGTATGCAAGGAACATGAGTGAGGTGGGGAAGGGAGGGGTATCTTTGGACATTACGGGGAGGCAATTTTATTTCATATTTCAATATAAGGACAAACTTATGAAGATGTGAAAGATCCTATGTGACGTTTGTATTGAACTGTTAGTTTTAAGGGGAAACTGTTAGGGGTAGAATATTGCAAGATCGATTCTGTGGGTGGGTGGGTGCATTTGAAGGGGTGCGGGTAGAAGGAAACACTTAAGTCTTCCTCAGACTAGAAGGGACGCTCTATGGGATTCAAGACAGCCAGACACCACTGGCCTCCGAGGTGCTTCTCTGGACCTGGGCACCAGAAAGGGGAGTGGGGGGCCGAGAAGGCAAGGGGAGAGTACAAAGCAGGGAAAAGTCGGTGACTGGCTTTGAGTGAGATGGGATGGTCAGCAAGAGCACTCCCAGTGTGAGAGGTTCTAGGAAGTGGGGATGGAAGGCCAGCCTCTCCGGGGCTGCTTTACAGGCATCATTTCTTCTCTCTTGCTCATCTGTGAAACAGTACTATGATCGCCAGACTCGGGGACGGGGACACAGGCTGAAAGAGGTCAGTTAACATTCCCAAGTAGCAGGTGGCAAGGAGGGGACTTGAATCAAAGCAGTCTTACTTTAAAGCCCTTACTTCTAACCACCATTGCCCTAGGAACAAATGGGAGGATTTCCATTCTGGCGCCTTAGGCCAGGGAGAGAAGGGGAGCCGTATGCTTCATCTTGTTCTGACATTAGGAAACCTCAAGTTGCAGGTGAAAATTCAGGGGAAATAAAGCTGAATATTGCTATAAAATAACCTATTCTTTCCTAGCTGGAGCTTACCCCACAGGAGCTCTTCTATTTCTTAGCAAACTGTATCTTTTAGGCAAGCAAGGACACATGCCCTTAGAGTCCTGGGTTGGTGTGGTCCTTCTTGGTAGGTTACTATTCTTTATAGCTCTATTTTAAGTTTCTGGGATATTTTGTATTTCCACCTCTTATTCAGTTTTGAAGATGGACCTGTCCTACTCATTCCATTTTTATGGAGCAGTAGCTGCCGTTTGGGAGTTGTGTCTTCTGGTGGTGAAGAGACCCCACTAACAATGCCCAGCGCCTCTTCTGTCACCATCTTGGGCTGCCCTGCCACCTCTCCTCAACTACCCCCACACCCACAGGTGCCTCTGTGCAGGGACTGCCTTCCATGCACCTGGCAGCCAGGTAGGACTTCTTGTCAGCCTGTTTCCTGCCGGTTGTCAGGCAGGAAGGTGTGTGGGTACTAGGACTGAGGGGATGTGGGGCAATTCTGACTCACAGAGGGCAGCTTTAGTGAGAGGTTCCACAATGGAGCCTCCAGTTCATGACAGTGAGTCCAGTGCTAACTGGGGAAAACAGTCAGCTTCACTGACCCTGGCTTTGACCCAGGGGCAAGGAGGAATGGGACACACTAAGGACAGGTGTACCTCACAGCAACTGCACCTTTGGAAGCTTGTAGCACTGTTTTTTATAAAAATGCATAACAGGTCAAAAACAAATTAACATGATCTTTAGAACACTGGAGTGAGCCTGAACATTGATTTTAAAATGCTTTATCAATTAGACACCAGAGATTTTTCCTGATATTTATTTCATAAATGTAATTATTTTTCTAAAACATATTAAAATAGAAAACATGTTCTTTCGATCAGTTATACAAAGAAAATACCAATATAGTAATAAAAATACTGAAAATATATGAAAAGCACCAGAACATTAGAGAAATCACACTGGCAACAATTCTAGGAATATATTCTTTTGCAATTGTACAATAAAGTGCTATTAAATCCAGTCAAAATTAGTGGCAAGATATAAAAAGTTTGGTATTATGAAATTTGAGGCTAGGTTTACCAGCAATTGCAATTTTAGGCAACTTGTAGATCATGCTAATGATATTTTGTTATGTATTCATGAAATAGTAGTTTCCATTCTTAAGTGAAAACAATCTAAATGTTGGTCCTTGGTAATTTGGTCATAAACAGGTAATGACCTGATTAAAAGTAAAATTAGTTACAGACTGCCAAAAATAATCATACAAGTAATTAAATAAAATGAAGACAGAATAAAATCAAATGTAAACAGATGATTCATCAAGATAAAATTTTAGATACCTTTGATTTCATAGTTAAATTTCAGTAGTTTTGCTTAGACACAATTAGTAGATACACACACATTAACAAGATATGTTACTAAATTCAACTGTACATCAGGGAAGAACATTTTAGGGAGTCAATGTAATTTTCATATGAAACATTAAAGGGACACTGTTAGGACAACGCTTTTCCCATTTTGACTGATTACTTATGTATTTGCTAAGGAACAAAAAACATACAAAAATACTTTAGGATTAGAGGACATTAAAGCCAGGAATGTAACATATTAGGGGCACACTGCTGTGTACACACACAGGAAGATAGTAGGGATAGTACTTAGGGTGGACTGAAGTCACTTGCACGTCTGGAGTTGGCAAACTGAAACAGAAAAACCCAAATTAAGACAAGAGTGTCAGGTCAGTGTCCTTTTAAGGTTTTATTTCCTAGGCCAATTGTTTCATAACTCAATTTTAGAATCATCAATTTCTCAAGATGAAAGCCACCACCACTATACCTCAGAATAAAAAGTTCTTAAAGAATAGCTCAATCAAAACTCAAAATTTGTTTTACAGACTATTTTTAGGCAGACTATTTTTTATTTCATTATCATAAAGTAGATTTACACGTGAACCAACATGGACTGAAACTGATCATATTAATGAGAGAACAAACTAATTTCATTAGCCTCTGTTCCAGCAAAGTACGTCACTTTAGGAATCTCAGGACCGTCCTTGGTTTTACTGCGACAAAGGCGGAGTGTCAAGCAAGTCAATCAGCCCTGGTCTGCGCGCTTTAGAGGCAATCACGTGTTACCTTTTTCACTCTTACATGGAGAACTGACACTTGAATTTTGATTTTTCTTTTTTTTCCCACCTTATAGATAACCCAGTCTTTTGCCACATTTCCTTCTCATGGCTTATTTTAACAAGGAACTGAAATGTAAATGAATTGTACCAAAAACTAACTTTTCAAAAAATCTCAACTACTTTTACACAGAAAAGAGGGTGAAGGAACGGAGGATCACGGCTTTCTAAGGAATGAAGCAAAAGCGTCAGTGGTCAGCCACAGTGAACACCATGAAACTGCATAAAGACAACTGGAAAGTGACTGAAGAGATTTTCCTTCTGGACATTACTAACAGCATCCAAAGAAAACCCAACCAAAGTTCATTTTCCAAATTCTACTTAAATGAGAGTGTTCATAAAAAAGTTTGAGATTAATAAATGGCAGGCTGTTAAGGAAGACTGATAAGAAACAAAGGCTAAAGGTGGTTTGGCATTAAATAGTTTTACATTCCAAAAGAATTTTGACTACCATCCGGAAGAAATTCTCAAAATTACAAAGTCATGATTACAGAAGTTACTCTGTAATGTTCTTTTCAATATACATGGTCTTCTATATACATGGTATAGAAAAGCTAATAACTTGGCTCAGCTATAGTAACGCTGTCATTTAAAAAAGCAGATTACATTTCTTGGCTGCAACAAAGCAAGTTACTTATTCTTTTCAGTTCAGCTACTATATATACATTGATAAAACTTAAGCTTTGAAAGTATTTAAATCAAAAGGAAAAAATAAATTATATCTAAGCCATTAATTTACATAACAGATAGGCCTTCACTCACTTTACTAACTAGCAATAGTCTCATATTTCTTCAGTGTTTGCTTTTTCTAACCGTTCATTTTCAAGACTTGTATCTGTTCTCTAAGTGTTGCACATTTCCTTTGAGGAAGCACAGATGTGTGACACTTAGTAGCATGGTAAAGAAGTTCTGGGTCTTACTTATTCCAACTAATGAGTGAAAGAGCCACATTTCCTATGGAGTACCACTTGTTTAACTGTACAACAAATAGAAGAAAGAGATGATAAAAGCAAGCGAGAGCATTGTTAAGGAAAGCAGCAGCTGCTGGAACCAGATACAGTGCTGAACTTGGTCTTCGAGCTTCCTATTGCTTTCTAGTAAACGATTGAGCTAAAGAGGGAAAAAAGGATGAAAGATTTGTGTCAATAAAATAGTACATGAATCATGTGAATGACAAACAGGAATATTAAGAATCCCACAAACAGGAATATTAGAAATCCCAGCATTTACGAAAGGGGGTCCAGCTACTCTGAAAGGCTGGGAGCTGGAAATGCAGTGAGGAATTGGATTTGTTTGATACACAAATATGCATCTGCTTACTCTCATTTTGGAAAGGTCTGCTTTTCTAGTTGAGAAAGGAGCAAAGCAATCACTTCCCAGAGGTACTGAAACCAGCTACTCAGAAGACAGCCCCTTGTCTTTTTCCACTTTAAATGTACTACATGGTACCTTTCCCACAAGATCAAATTCTTGGACACTTCCCAAACACCATGTGCTTTACCATATGGTCCCTAGTCCAAATTGATATGCCCGGAGCTTGAAAAAAGTGAGCAGAGCTACAAAAGTAACTCACAACTTACCACCACCTCTGATCTGGCTTCCCTCCACAAAGAGAGCATTGTCTATGCCAAAGGTCTCCCTTATGTCAGTGGGGAAAAACTGGATTTCTAATGTTGATTAGCATCAGTGACTTTGTTTTAGTCTGGAAGAAAGAACACTTACTTGTAGATATATGTCTTCACTGGTTTTTTCAGAAATGTTGAAAGCACTGTCTTTTAATGTAAGTGTGGTTGGTTTACTGCTCTCAACAATATGGCACCTTAACCTATGAAAACCCAAAGGAAACAAAGCTTCTTTAAGTTAATGAATTATTTTAATAAAAGTAAAATATAAAATGAAAAAGTTAAGCAGAGACTGTAACAGGTGAAAGCACTCATCCCTCCTTGCGCACTGCACCCACCTGCCTGCTGCCTTTATCTCTGGAGGGAAGAAGGGTGTGCTACCCCAAACTAGGCCTCTTTAGTGTAAACATGATTTTGAGCTGGTTTTTTTTTTTTTTTAAGAAATAGCAGACACAGGAGAAGCTCTGAAAACGAGTAGAAGTTACTGTTTTGTAAGAGACTTTTACATGTATGAGGGCAATCTCCATGTGTAACAGCATCTCCCTCTCTGTACCAGACAGAGGAAGATGACTCGGAATCTCTAGAAACTCAGTAACAATGGAGAAGGTACTGACTCAAATCTGCTTAACAACCTGCCCCTTGTTTACTGCACTTTGCCTGATGGTCTCCTGTAACAGGCTCTCTCACCCCCCAACATCTTTGATCTTTAGCTGGAGATGGTATTTAAGGTGGTATCTTGGGCCCTTTTGGGGAGTTACTCAGTGTTCTTGGGTCTCTCCATGTATACAGCAGGTATACATGTTATTAAACCTCCATTTTTCTCCTGTTGATCTGTCTTTGATTTACAGGGTTGGCAGTGGGTGCTGCCTCAGCCAAGAACCTAGAAGGGTAAAGGGAACATTATTTTTCCTGTCCCACAGTTTGGCGACTTACTATGAGACTTGCTGAGGCACTAGACTTGCTTGGGAGCCTGCAGATGGGATCCTGGAAAACCGGCAGAAGCTGGCAAAGGTAAGGATTCTTGCCAACGTCAGCTCTCCTGGATCTCACTCTAGTGCTCAGTCAAGAGAGGGGTAAAAATTCCACCTTGTCTCTTCCTTTCCAAATTTAGAAAATATTTGTGTGAACTAGTTCTTTGGGTATAGTGACTTCAGTAGAGATTTTTGTGATGAGTACTCTTGTTTTCTATTGATCCTTTTCCCTCCCAGAGATGGTCAATTTTTTGTGTCTGTCTTCTGTGATGTTTGCCATGAGGAGAACCACAGGCCACATAAGTCTTCCTTTTGTCTTGAGAGCTTGGTTTTGTGACCAGTGAAATATCCTCCCTGGTCTCTTCAGTGGGAGGACGCGTCTGTCTGCATCAGCTGGAGGCCAGGTGAATAGGCTGGAGCTTAGACACCAGGTGATAAGCAGCATTCTCTTTGTCTCACTGGGCCAGCTTTCATGGGAGTTTGTCATAAGGGGTCCCAGTCCATAGGGGGCTTTTGTGCCTCATTAGTGCTGATAAAGCCCCATTCCCGCAGTGCCTGCCCAGTGTCACAGATTAATGGTCCTGTGCCTGAAGGCATCCCACATTCTTGCGGAGGGGCAGGGAGACACCCTTTTCACTACACCATTCTTACTGCCTGTGACAACGAAGGCCTTTGCTTCTTTAGGCTAACTCTGGGAACGAACTCTCTGGATCTTGTGAGGGCTGCATTTTTTGCACCCTCTCTGATGCACCTCTTGCAGCCATGGTTAAGCCGTAAAAAGGGTTTATTGGTTTGAGTCACTTGAGATTATTGTAAGATCCTACTTGTTAATGGTGAGATGATGGATCTTTTGAATTGGAAAATCCTGTTTGAAAATTTTTTAGACAGTGCTCATACTAAACAATTGTTTTATTTGTATCTATGGAAAGACCACACTGAAAGGAGGCCATGAAAGAATATGGTGGCTAGCCTCAGGGACTTCTTTAGTCAAAGGTGAAATTACAAAGCTCTTTTTTACCTCCACTTTCAGAAAATATCTTCCAAATTTAGAGAGGAGTTAAAAGGATCAGTGGTCATTCAGTCCCTACTCACCACGATCTTGACTGGCTAGTAATAAGGGTGTTCTTTCCACCTATGATTATACTGTGGTTATCAGATAAGTCAGACAACCTCCCTGGGGTAAACCCCCCCCCTTCACAAAGGAAACATGACCAAAATTTCTCCCAGGCCCTTCTGCAATTCAGGAAATGGATCAGCTGAATGCTGATTTCAGGAACTGATAGAAACAATAATATAGACTTTTCCCTCCAAGGTGAATTGGTCAAAGGTTGAATTGTGCACTCAGAAAAATGAGAGCGTTTGAAAGCCTTTGCCAAATGCTTTACACAGACATTTTAAAGGCACACTGATCAAACCCTGGAGCTCCAGAACATAGAGATCATTTGACTTTTGCCTTACTTGGACATGTCCCTGATATAAAGCAAATTGAAGAAGCAGTTGGGTGGATGGGTCAGTTCCTTCATTGCATTCAGGCTGTAATCCAAGTCTTTGAGGAATTAAAAGCAACTGACTTTGTCTTGGAAATCTCTACAAAACCAGAAATGCAACTCTAGAAGCCATGTAAAGCCCACCTAGCCTTACCAGGACAGAAGCCTCCCCTATTTAATAGTTGTAGGTATTATAAAGATCAGGACATTGGAAACAGAACTGCCTTGCACTTAAGAAGGAAAAATTTAAATAGTAATTACTGCAGACCTCTGATGATAGGCAAATATACCCCAAAACTTGCAGAAAGAAACTTGGATACTTTCTCTGTGCCTTTGAGATGTAAATGTTCTACCCCATCTTCTGTAGGACCTGATAGCCAGTTCTTTGAAATATAAACTTTAAGGAAATAATTCTCATCAGAAGGGAAAAAGGAGCTATTTGGAAACTGGGCAAATGAAAAAAAAAATACAAATACAGTTGATTCTTTAAACAAGGGTTTGAACTGCACAGGTCCAGTTATATGCAGACTTTTTCCCCATAAATACAGTACTGTAAATGTATTTTCTTTGATGATTTTCTTAACATTTTCTTTTCCCTAGCTTACTTTATTATAAAAATACAGTATATAACACAAACAATATGTATTAGTTGACTCTAAATATTTTTTTGGGGGGATCAAAGTTTTATGTAGATTTTCTACTATGTGGTGCAAGGTCAGTGCCCCTAACCCCCATGCTGTTCAAGGGTCCGCTAAAAAAGCTTTAGCCATTTGAGCAGGTAAACTTGCCAACTGCCAGAAACACAACTTAGATCCAATGGTTTTTATATAAACTAGTGAGTTTTCTGTTATCATATCTGATTCATGGCTGAAATTTTAGAACTATAGCCAAAAGGTCTTTGCATCTGTCTGTGTGTTTATATGTATGTTACAAATATGTGGTATGTTTTTGACCTCTGGATGTAATTACCAAAATGAATTTATAAAAGCTTTTTAATTGGCTTAAAGAAAAATTAGTGCCTATCAAATTAAGTATTCCTAAAACTCTCAGGAATACAGAACATAACTCAAATGTTTTTCAAGTTCACGTGATCTTGGATAATCTTTGATAAATAAAGCTGGGTTAAGTTTGTTGGTTTAATTAAAATAGGCATGTCTTCAGTTATCAACATGAGATATAATGTAGCTCTACATACAACTTCTGTTTTACCTGGGCTACTACTCAAATAAGTTCATGTTGCCTCTGTTACAAAATTTGTCAACCAGAAAAATAGCTTGGGATGATGGCTGACTCTGTGTAATGTCTCATTAAGTTTTCAAGAGTTATCTAAACTTAATTGTTGGGACCAAGTGATTTAGATCGATGTAAGTAGGATAAGAACTTCTAGGTGACCTCTTTATCAATGATTATGTTTTATGGTATGTCTAATTAAAGATTGTTTTCTTCTGAAGCTTTAGAGTTTTGCTAAGATAAATGTGCAATTCACTGAATCTCTAGATTGTTTACAAAATTACTGAACATAGGTTTATCTACTTTTGGTTTTTTATTATAGAGGAACTAAAGATATTTGTGTCTGTTAGTAAACATATCATGTGGCACACTGAAAAACTGCAATATGAAGAAGCATATGCTTCAGGAAACTATGAAATGTTTTCAAAAACTTGCCAATCTAAAGAATGCTGGTGTGACAGACCACAATTGCTTACTTCCTAGTTTTCACTAGAAATTAAGGTTTCTAAGGGTTAAGAATTCTAAGTATATGGAATCAAAACTACCAGAAACAGTAAGGGAAGGAAAGTAGGACATATTTTTGTCCAAAAAAAGGTTTAAGGAGTAGAGATACATTTTTGTTAAAGGAAATGAAAATAATTTTGTCATAAAGTAAAGCTTGTTATTTCAAAATAGGAAAGAGGAGAGAGACTAAAGGACAAACTAAGTGGATGTAGAAAATTGGGAAGAAAGAAAGTTTTACCTTGTAAAGTCAAGCTGGCTGAAATCAAATTTGTTACAAGGGTTTTAAAAATAAGCTTTTAATACCAATAAGCTTTTTAATACCAATAGAACTTATATAAAACTAAAGTTAAATTTTATTTCATCTGCTAAAAGGACAATTTCCTTGGACTACTGGTCTGCTACTGGTAAGAGACTGGGAAAGGTCTTTCTTTACTTTTTTAAGTAATCTGCCTGGAATGCAAAGATTTTACACTTTACCAAAACAATTTCCTGTGCTTCATGTTCTCTTTATCATCAGGTCTTGATTATTTAAGAAAAATGAGTCTTCTAAACATTGAAAGAGCTAAGTTTTGCTCATAACTATGTAGCCTTCTGTATCTTTTGAAAATTTTTAAATTGTCACTTTAGTTAAATCGATGATTAGGTATTGTTTCATAATGAGTTATCCTATCTAGTCAAGTGTCCAAAATCAAATTCTAAATGAAGTCTTCTCGACCTTGAACTAAATTTGGAATTTTCCAGAGGGTGCCAGGAACATCTCAAAAGATTTGTTCACTCTCTTTATAAAAAGAGGGACATTAAACTAATTAGGCTTATTTGGTATGCTAGATTACATGGGAAGCATTGTCAAATAAGAAGTAATACTAAATGCTCTTTAACAGCTACTGTCCTTATTCTTCTTTTCTTTTTATCTTTTCAAGACCTGACATACAGACACACACACGCATGCATATGCCTATAGTCACAGGTTTTCCCCTTTTTAGATAGGATAATGTCTCACATATTTTTCTGTGAGCAGGTTTTTTTTCTCCTAATGATATAGCATAGGTGTCTTTCCATTATCCTAACAAACAGACTCACCATACTTTTCTGAAAGGCTGCAGAGTATGCCTTCGTGTTGATGTACTCAAACGCATTTCACTACTGCTTTACTGGTGATCATTCAGGTTCTTTTTTTCCCATTTTTCACTAGTAAAAACAATGCTGCAACAAACATATTCTAGTACACAAAGTGAGCATTCCTACAAAGGGAACTGCTGGGTCAAAAAGATCTGTGTCGGTAATTTTGACACATTGAGATTCTTGCCCTGCAAGCAAGCCTCTGCTATTAGTAACTTCCTTCAGAAGCTCCAGGTCTCATTCAATAGGGCATCCCAGAGCCTTGCAGAGCTTGGGGCCCACACTAGAAGCCTAAATATCTGCCAGTAGAAGGGATGCCTGCCTAGTCCATGTAGGCCCATTTCTCTTTCTGACTTTTCCCATCACATTGAAGAGCCTGGGAGTAAAAAGCATACCTATGCTCCATCACTTTGTTTCTGGGAACTTCTTTCCAGAACTGAGTCAATTCTGCTGGGCCTGTGCCAGATGACTGTTCCATTTCTGCAGCCATTATCAGAAAACGATCTTGGGCAGAGACTGTTAAACCTGTATTCCAAAAGGATAGCTTATTATATAAACAGGAACCTTTACAAAGGGTTGGATATGTGGTTTAAGTCATTATTCTAGAAAACAGCATTAAGGAAAAAGAATAATATGCAACTATATTAAAAAAGGAAAACATTATAAAAATGAGAACTTTCTTGGAAATTCAATTTCAACTAGCATCAGTTTAAACAATTCTACTTCTTAAAAAACAATTTTAATGAGACCCATTTGCCCACCTTATTTTACATGTAAGTAAACAAATGCCTAGAGTGTGGTGAGGTGACTTTCTGACACTCTATAATCTCTAGATTCTAGTCCAACTCTGCTGACTCATCACCCAGCCTCAGCAACCCCCTAACACCAATCAACACCCTGCTCTGGCCATCAGGTGACAACTTACCCCCATGGGGAGACACAACTATGTCAACTGATGCACCAGGGTCACAACTACTGTTGCTTGGCTTGACTCTGTATTTTTCTGGAGCAGTTGTTCTCACCTGTTTATGAACACAGTAGTCACACAATAAACCTTTATGGCTTTTCTGTGTTGGGGGGTGAATGGCTTAAAAATGACTTAAAAATCGGCAGTTAATCAATAAAAGTGTACAAAACAATCTTGGTCGTTATGCATAGAATAGGCCTTTCCCCATCAATAAGAAAAAAAAGCATCTCAAAGCATCTCAATCTGTTTTTAAAAATATTAACTCATCTTGTAATTGTCACTTAGCCTTCCTCTTAAGTATTTATCCTGTCTGATAATTGCCTGAATTTAATAATAAAAATTCAAGAAATGGAATGCACATTAGAACACATTGCAATAGCACTCAAAAACTAAAAAACAGTAGATAATCAAAGGACATACAGAATACCTTAATGGTTACATCTAAATTAAATAGATGATGTAATACCAACAGTATGGGGGCAGTGGAGGATTCAGGCTTGTTATACTTAATGCTCAGTAGCAGGTTAGTATCCAGTACCAATTGTACTCCAGAATATACCGCACCCAGGGGAAAATGGACTTTTCCATTTTATAGTTTTACTTTTCAATGTTATGAATTGAATTATTTATATGAAGAGTGATTTTCCTTGGGTTTTTATTTACAACAACTATTAAACCTGGGACTAATTTGTTCATTAGCCTATTACTGCACATTAAAGACTGAGCAGATCCCAGGGAAAATTTTAGATAAGTTACAAACACATGGATAGAACTAGAAGGCAGTACTTAATATGCCTAAAAATATCATAAAACAACACTGTGCAAGTTCATTCAATATTATCAACTTTTCAATTAAAATATGTCAAAATCACTTCTCATGTCAAATTTTCCCACATAATTATGTCTTTCAGATATTTACCTTAAATGCAACTATGTTTTTAGTTACATTTGTCAGCACTATTAAAGTCTTCTTCTCTCCAGATTCTGTACTTCCAAAATACAGTTCTTCTGCTGGGCTAGATGATTACAAAAGCATAAGGTATGTGTATTAGCCAGAATAAATGACGATCTAATCATCAGCTTAAAGAAAAATATTTGGTCAATATTTTATGCTGATTTGTATAAAAAGATTTCATCAAAAGAAAAAAAGATCACAAAACAATTACCTACTACATTTTGTATTTTAAGTACTGATTCAATGCATGCTATTTAAAAAGTCCTACGGTTTCCCCCAAGATTAAAAGCAAAACAGGAAGGGACAGAAGAATTAGGAAGATTCTCAAATAGTCCTATAAACAGCACAATCTTAAGGTACACTTATTTAAACTCTTTGGGAGGTTACAGGTGATTAATTAAAACAAAGAAGGAATTGCTGCTTTTACTTTACCTAATTACAAGTAGATCAGAGTGGGGCATATTGTTATACACCAACAGAGAAGAGCATAACTTAAGAAGAAATATCATTAGGGATGTATTTAAGTAACAGAGTAATTCCTTATTATAATAAGGGCTTTTCCTAAGTAATACGGAAGAAGAAAAATAAACACAGAAATAAGATTTGGGGTGGGAACTGCAGGAAGAATTTGTTAAACCGTAAAATAAGCAAGCCTCAAAATGCATATTTTCCTATTATTGGCCACTGTAATGCCTATGACCTAAAATGAAAACTGAAAGACTCAAGCAAAGTTTGCATAGTTTAATTAGCCAAATTTTATCAGGTGCCTCCAAACAATGGGAAAGACAGTATTTTTATTTTCAATAAAAAGGTCAATTCTTCAGATAGCGCTTGACTTTGAGCTACATCTGTACATAGATTCATTTTATCTCAGGAATGTCCGCCTATCTGAGATACTCACCAAAAGAACACACATTTTTAAGGAAGTGCTCTCCCAAGGAGGCTTTGTCCATCTTTGGACAAGTCATAAGTTAGCGTGGTTGCTGAATCCAATCTGAACTATACCACAGACAAGAGAGGAAGGTTATGGATCTCAGAACTGCTCTCAGTAACCAGCACAGAAACTGTGAGCAACTCTGGGAGGAGAGATGTTCGCTGGGTCCCTGTGTGCACGCAGGAGTAGCGCTGTGTCCTTCCCAGGGGCAGGAGCAGGGAGTGGCAGGGCCTGAAGTATAGTCCCAGAAGGTGCCCTGCTCTGCTCGAGCTTCCTTCCTAGCCGGCTCTTCTAGCCATACCTTGACAGTTTTAAGGCAGGACCTACGGTTTTGACAGGCCTCCAGGGAGAAACTGCGTGTAACTTCTAAACTAATAGAGGAAAAAATGGGAAACCAAAAAACTCCAAAGGGGGAAAACGGCAAAGAAAAACCACGGAAAACATAACATGCATGTGTGTTTCCCTCTCCCCTGCCCTAACACACACACACACACACACACACACACACACACACAGTGGAGATAAATCCAAATATAACAATAATCAAAACATATGTAAACAAACCAATCTTGTCAGAGAATCTCAGATTTTTAAGAAGTCTGTATTGTTCATAACAGTCATACCTAAAACAGTTATACAGAAAGGTTTCACTAAAGGGATAGAAAATGATTCGTTAGATCATTGCTAAATAAAGATGGTACAGCAATATTAACATAAGGCTATTATGTAGATTTACCAACCAAAAGCATCATTAAGGAGAAAGAGGTCGTTACATAATGATAAACAATCCTGAATCTTTTGGACTGAATAACCTAGAAACAAAAGGAGAGGTGTTGAAATTCGGCTTTGGTAAAAAACCTGTTTTTTTGGTTCACCTTTAGCTTTTAGAAGGCCAAACTGATAAATGCCGACCTACTTCAGTGTTGTTTCTGGTACCCTTGAACTTATGCAAGTCAAATAAAATCAGGAAAATGAGAAAAATACACATCATCCAGATTTTTTAATAAACACAGCTTAACAGAATAAATAACAAAAAGGTAGCTAAAAATATCCATTATGTGTAGAAACCAAGGAGAGTCTTTGGAAAGCCCTGAATTTTGTATTTCCAGTTTCAAAAACAGCAGTTTTCCTAATTTTGCAGTTCTCTCAAGATGATCAAGATATATTATTAAAAGTGGAGCTAATAAAATCCTCCACCATTACCTGATGTGTAGTAAGGGACCTTTAAACACACTCAATGGTTTCTTGAAAGTTTTCATTTTGGAATCAACTTTTTCATTTTCTTCTGCTTTAGAAGTAGGTTCAGTTAGGGTAATCTAAAGACAAAAAAATATATGGAAAGAAAAGATAAATTTAGTTTCACACTGATGGTGGGCAGTTCATTAGGTCAAAAAGTGAACATTGTAGTAATTCAATCCAAATTATAGTCTTTAACACAGGTTTATTGTATCTAAATTATATATTTAACATACATTAAAATGACCTTTAACATATATTTGAGTGCCTACTATAAACAGGTCACTATAGAGAATATAGCGTGGTCCTTCTCCTAAATGTCTTTAAATTTGTTCTAAATTTTAATGTATTTATCCCTCTATCAAGCCCCTGATGACATACAAAGATAACAGCTAAGTGCTCTTTAAAAACTGAAATAGAAGAAGTAGATCCAGGTAAAGTTTTGAATTAATTTTATTTTAGATAAATAAGAACTATTTTTGGATAGAACAATTCTTTCCAGGTGCCTTTTGTCAATTTTTATACGAAAGCATGGGATCAGCCTTTTATACACCATAGTGGCACTACTGGTCAGCTAGTGCCATCCTTCTTTCTTTTTTGCATACGAAGATGTGGAAGGACAGCAGGTTAAGTGAATTACCCCAAATCACAGAGCCAGCTAGTGGCAGAATTGGGACTAGGCCATAGCTTTGGACTCAACTTCATTTTGTTGTCAAGATTACCTTTTTCAGAGCTGTCTGTTCTTCATTAGGAATTGTCTCCAAGGTTTCTTTGCCATCACTTTCTATATCTTCTTTACTTGAAGCTTCATCTTCGCTAGCAATAGGCCCATTTTCACACAATGGTGTCTGGAAGTCATCATCTACTAGTGGTGGATAGCTGTATCTAAACGGATCCTAAGGGAAAAGAATTTTGTATTAGCCTGCTAAGAGGTGGGTAGAGAAATAATTCTCTTAGTAGAGTTAAAATCCTTTCCTCTGGCCAGGGAAACAGACTGAATTAGATAGTGAAATTTAAAACAAAGGAAACATTTCAGAACAGAAAGGAAAAGAGCAATTAAGTGGTGTGGCACAATCGCCAGCCACCTGTAAATGAACTAGCTTGGATATTTAGCTCACTCTTTATACCGAAAATAAGTCCAGATGGATAAAAACTTTAAATGTGTGTGTATACACGGATTTTTTAAAAACCACATAAGCTCCAGAACAGGAGAATTAAATAAACAAAAATGACAAAACCTAAGTAGGGAAGGCCTTTCTCAGCATAGCACAAAACCTAGAAGGCATGAAAATACTGGTAAAATTGAGCGCACTAAGATGAAACATTGCTGAATGGCAAAACACAAAACCCAACCAATCAACCACCAACCAATGAAAAGAAACCTTATAATAGTATTATATTTAAAGGTCACAACAGGGAAAATATGCCACACACACATCAGAAACAGAAGACAGCTTTTGTTAACTTGTACAAATCAGTAACAAAAAGAACCCAACGGAACAAGGAATAAAGGAATGATAGAGTTCATAGAAAAAGAATAGACTACCCTTTAAATCATGAAAAATGCCCAATATCACTCACAATAAAAGAAATACAAATTAAAACCATGATAAAATAGTTTTCACCTAACGCTGGCAAAAATTACAAAAATGGGAGTATGTGGTGTTGGCAAGGATGTGGTTCAAGCATTCCCACACACTCTTGAGAAATTAACAAGAGCTATAAAAATTTAAATATACTCATTGACCTAATTTTAATTCTGTGAGTTTATATTCTACATATACTGCTGCATCCATGTTCCAAGAGTTATTTACAAGGATATTCACTGCAGCACTATTAGTAATGGCAAAAGACTGGAAAATAGCTAATGTTTTTTCAAAAGGTAACTGATTAAATACATTGTTATATTCACACAATGGAATGTTCTGCAATGGTTTAAAAAATCAGTTAGACTTCTATGAATCAATATGGTAAACCTAAAATAAATGATGTGGAAGAAAACCACAACAGAACAATGTATTTTGTGTAATTTGTGACCTTTATGCAAAAAAATATAATGGATAGAGTATCTCCAGAAGGAAAGCAACCCTGGGAACAGTGACTGTCTGTAGAGAGTGGCAGTGGCCAGTGACCTGAGGAGAGACACCTACTCTTCCCTCTACTCTTGTATTTTTCAGTCTTTGGTGGTGTTTGCTTTTAAAAAAAAATAATGTGTATTACTTTTGGGAAAAAAATTTATGTTAATGAACAGTAGTCCTACTACAATTCTGACGACCACCCTGAAGATATATACCATTAGCAACAGAGAAAGGAAATAGAATAACCTTTTCTACCCCTAGAAATAAAAATATTTTTTAACTAAATGTTATTCATTTTAAGATATAATTCCATTGAACAAATTATTAAAAATGACAAGTCAAATAGCTATTTTAACTAAAGGTAGTACCTGAAATGAACTATAGTCTGTTTTTCTAGGTTAAAATGTGAAAATAAAAACCCTCAGAATAGGAAAGCAGAAAACTTCAAATTAAAAATACTGGTTCAAGTTTTTTCTAATCAAAGGAAACAAAAGAACATACCAACATTTTTCATCTTGCTAGTCCCTTGGTTCTAGTTGAATACAATTTTGCCATGTAGACAGTAGCAAAGTATATTGTATAAATCAAGTGACTAAAATATTATCAATCAAGTTAACTCAAAGCATACCAAATCCATAGGTTTCACAGTTTATTAAAAAGGTCATTATCATTATTATGTTTCATTGTTAGGCAGTATTAAAAATTTAATATGTATCTATTTCTGATCTCATAAGTAGCACAATCATCTAAAAAATCCAGATAGTATACATTTTCTTTCAAAATGTTCAAAGTAAACAATTGGAAGTAAACTAAAGACACATCAAAAGGAAATTAAATAATTTATGGTTACTAATTTACGATTCATTGCTAGACACTAGAACACTATGCAGCCATAAACAAGAGTAAGACAACAAACACACTTGGAATGTGTTTGGAATGATCTCTAAGACATGTTGTAAAGAAAAAAAGGATATGCAATAGTGTATAAATATACTAATTTAAAAGAGAGGAGGAAGAACTACAAATATATTGTATTTGCTTATATATGTTGCATATATATATATTATAGTTGCTTATATAGGCAATACAAATCCCTGGAAATAAATAGAAGAAATGGAACTGGGGAGGGGAACAGGGTAGTTTGGATAGCAGTAGAAAGACTTTTTGCTAAGTACTTGTTTCTGAATGCTCTTCCTGAATACTTTTCACTTAGAACCATGTAAATATACAACCTATTCAAAAATAAAAATTTAACAACTTGAAAACTTACATATAAATTGCCTGTGAACACTGCTTGCTATTTTGGACTATCTGTGATCTTTTTTTGGATATTAAGATACTGCATTTCCTTTTTCCTTGAGGAAAGGCTACAGCCTAATGTGCCGTGATGTAGTCTTATTTTAGAAACAAGTTTCAAGCACTATACTTACAGTTCCACCCATGTGGGGAGGCAGATATTCCACACTGACATGGTCCTGGACTTCATTTTTACTTGCAAACTTCAGCAAACTCATTGCTTCTGCACCAAGCCAGGATTTCACAATTTTGAAAGCAGCTGAAGGAAAAGCAAGTCACTTCATTAAATTGTTTTCATTCTTTTTCAATTAATTCACTGTATGTGCTAATAATCCAGGTCTTCTGAAATGAGTATGGGCTCAAATCTGTTAATATGTATCTTTCTATGGCATGATACTTAATTAACATTCTCTAACTCCTGTAGGCATTTACATTGTGACTGTCCCTATGGGCTTCAAATGTTCCATGAAGATTCAGGAATATTAAGTTACCCTGATATTCATTAATAAACTTATCAGGGTTTTGGCCTCTGCACAAATCTATGAATGATCCCAGCTACTAAGGTGTCCAGACACTGAGTCAAAATGCATTGTGATTCTGGGAATAACTGTACAATAGTATGGAAAGAGTATGGAAAGACTTATGCTTTTGATAAACCCCCAATCTAAAAAACATTCTCAAATGGGAAGTCAAGAAGAGAAGGAAGTAGTAGCCCTTCTTATTATGGGTGTGAGTCGGATCCTAAACTCTGACTTTTTCCCAAGCCCTGCAGCTTATATAAGTGTGAGGAACTTACAGAATCTGTAAGAATAAACTGCTGTCAAACACAGGTGTTTAGTAATAAAGTCTTGTTCTGTCATGCCATTCTGGTTTATACTTAATTTTTTAATCCTTGTTTTCATCATGATATTCTAAGCACATGTTAAAGAAATTAAAAGAGGACACCCAAAATAAATTTGCAAAAGTGTCAAAAAAAATCAGGAAATAACAGAGCCTGATTTGGTAGTTCGGAAAATTGCATTTTTGACTATAATTGCTACATAACATTTACGTTTTCATTAATTTCAACTTAAAAAGTCTGTGAGTTGAAATACTGAAGCTATGCTACTTGAATTAACCCAAGTATTAAATCTGATTTTTTGAATAATGGCTTTATTGATATAATTTACATACGATAAAACCCTCACCCATTAGCAATCTCTCCTTAGCATCCCTTCTTCCATTCCTGGCAAGAACTGATCTACTTTTGTCTTTGTGGATTTGCCCATTTTAGACATTTCATATAAATGGTATCATACAATATGTGGGGGTTTTTCTACTGGTTTTGTTTACTAAGCAGGTTTTCAAGATTTCTGCTATGATGTAGCATGTATCAGTGTTTAATTCTTTTTTATGACTGAAAAATCTCCCATTTTATGGATATGCATTTGTTTATCCATTTATCAACTGATGAACATTTGGGTTGTTTCCTCTTTTCACTATTATAAATAATGCTATGAGCATCTGTGTACAAGTTTTTGTGTAGACCTATACTTTCAGTTCTCTCAGGTACATACCTAGGAGTGGATTTGCTGGGTCATATAGTAACTGTATGTTTAACTTTTTGAGGAATTGCCGAACTGTTCTGCACAGTGTCCACACCATTTTACATTCTCACCAGCAATGCATGAGGGTTCCAATTTTCCCACATCCTCAGCAACACTTGTTACTGTCTGTCTTTTTGATTATAGCCATCCTAGGGGGTGGGAAGCAGTATCTCATTTGGTTTTTGATTTGCAATTCTCTAATTATTAATGATGTTGAGCATCCTTTTCTTTATGTGTTTATTGCCCATGTGCATATCTTCTTTGGAAAAAGGTCTATGCAAATCTTTTGCCCTTTTCTAATTGGGCCAATGGTGTTATTGCTGTACTGTTAAAGTTATTTATCTATCATAGATATTAAGTCCCTTATCAGATATATGATTTGTAAATATTTTCTTCTGAGAGCTGTCTTCACCTTCCTGATGATGTCCTTTGAAGTACAAAAGTTTTACATTTTAAGGAAATCCAGTGTATCTATTGTTTTCTTCTGTTGCTTGTGATTTTTTGGTGTCGTATCTAAGAAACCACTGCCTCATCCAAGGCCACAAAGCTTTACACCTATGGTTTCTTCTAAGAGTTTTCTAGTTCTAACTCTCACATTTAGGTCTCTGATCCATTTTGGGTTAATTCTTGTATGATGGGAGGTAGAAATCAAAGTCCATTCTTTTGAACATGTATATTCAGTCGTCCCAGCACCATTTATTAAAAAGACTTCTTTCTCCACTGAATTGTCCTGGCACTGTTGTCAAAAAAATCAATTAGTCATAAATATCAGGGTTTATTTCTGGACTCTTTATTTTACTGATCTACACATCTATCCTTATGTCCATACTGTAAGATCTTAATTACTACAGCTTTATAGTGAGTTTTGAAACCAAGAAGTGTGAGTCATCCAGTTCCACTGTTGGTCTTCAAGATTATTTTTCCTTCTCTGGGTCTCACATTTCCATATGAATTTAAGCTTATCAATTTAAAAGGTGGCTGGAATTTTTGACAGGGACTGCATTGAATCTGTGAATCAATTCGGGAAGTACTGCCACCCTAATAATATTAGGTCTTCCAATCCATGAACAAGAGATGTCTATTTACCTAGGTCTTTAATTTCCTTCAATGGTGTTTTGTATAGTTTTCAGTGTACAAGTATTGAACTTCTTTTATTAACTTTATTTCTAAGTATTTTATTCTCTGTAATGCTATTATAAATGCAATTCTTTTAATTTCATTTTTTGATCATTCACTGCTAGTGTACAGAAATATAATTGATTTTGTGTATTGACTTTGTATCCTGCCACCTTATGGAAATTGTTTATTCTAATAGGGTGTTTTGTATGTGCTTGTGTTCCTTAAAATTATCCATATGGAAAATTATGTTATCTGCAAATATAAATAGTATTACTTCTTTTCCAATCCTGTTGCCTTTTCTTTCTTTTTCTTGCCTAAGTGCCCTGGCAATATAAGTGGTGAGAGCAGCAACATTATCTTGTTCCTGATCTTAGGGGGAAAGCATTTCTTCCTTCACTGCTAAGTATGATGTTGGCGGTGGGTTTTCATAGAAGCAGGTTTTACGTAATACCTTATCAGGCTGCGCAAGTTCTCTTCTGTGTAATAAAGAATTTACCCAAAGGAAAGTCTGGCCTTTGCCTCAACTTCTGGGAGGTAATTGTTATGCCTAATAGGAATGTCTTTGTTTGCCTGAGGGCCTTGGGTCACACTGGAACAATACAATTTAGGGTGGGGGCTTTGGGTCACACACTATCAGTAGACTTCTGGAGGGACTAGAGACTGAATTTAACCATGTAATAAATCAGTTAGGCCTATATAATGGGCACCAATAAAAACTGAACACCAAGGTTTAGGTGAGCTTCCCTGGTTGGCAAAACTCCATAGGTATTGCCACATATCAATGCTGGGAAAGTAAGGTGCTTCACATCTGGTACTTCCCTGGGCTGATTTTAATTTGATTAAAATTAATCAAATTTTAAAATTGATTTCTACCCTGTTTTTCTTTCCTGAGCTGACTTTAATTTGAATTCTTTCCCTGTAATAAACTGTAAATGTGAGTATAATAGCTTTCAGTGAGTTCTGTTGAGTTACTCCAGTGAACCCGAGGGTGGTTTTAGAAAATGCATGAGTTTACAGTTGGTGTCAGAAGTGGGGGTACTTCTGTGTGGACTTCTGTGGTCCCCCTAACTTTGCAATTATTCCAACTCTTTGTTCCTTCTATTCTTAATTTTCTGAGTGCTTTTATCATAAGAGTGTATTGGATTTTGTCAAATACTTTTTCTGTGTCTATTGAGATGATCATGTGTTTTTTTCCCTTATAGTCTACTAATATTGTTGGATAACATTGATTTTCATGTTGAACCAACTTTGCATTCCTGAGATAAACCCCACTTGGTCATGGTGTATAATACTTTTTATGTGCTGCTAGATTTGGTTTGTTAGTAATTTACTGAGGGTTGGTCCTTCTATATTCATAAGGGATACTAGTCTAGTTTTCTTTTCCTGTGATATTTGTTATTAGGCTTGTATTTGCCTAATAAAATAAGTTTGGAAGTGTTGCCATTTCTATTTTGAGAAGAATTTATAAAAACTGGTGGTGATTCTTTATGTTTGGTAGAATTTACCAGTGAAGCCATTTGGGTCTGGGGTTTTCTTTGTGAGACGTTTTCTGATTAATAATTCAATTTCTTTTAATACTGCTATTCAGATTCTTGAGTCCATTTTGGTAGTTTGTCTTTCTACGAGTTTGTCCATTTCATCTAGGTAATCCAATTTCTTGGCATGTAACTGTTTACAGTATTTCCTTATAATCTTATTTCTCTAAGGACAATAGTGATGCCTCTTCTTTCATTCCTGATTTTAGTAATTTCTTTTTCTCTTCATCAGTTTAGCTGAAGCTTTGTCAATTAAAACTTTTTTTTTGAGATGTATTGGAATGCTTCATAAATTTGTGTATCATCCTTGTGCAGGGGCTGTGCTAATCTTTTCTGTGTTGTTCCAATTCTCATATATGGGCTGCCAAAGCAAGCACTACTGAACTTTTCGAAGAACCAAGTTTTGGTTTCACTGGTTTTCTCTATTACTTGCTCTGTTTAACAACTGACTTTGGCGAACACAAATGAAAATGCACATTCTGAAAATAACATTAAGTTGACAACCACATTAAAGCTGGTAAAGAGCATTTTTCAGTGGTTTAAAAACTTTTCTTTTTAACCAAAAAATGTATCATGACTCTTGCAAAGGGTTATGTGACTACAGAGATTTGGAGTAAATTTTAGATTCATTCCACCTTCTTCTTCAACACCTGAAGCCCATGAAAAAACCTACCCAAGGCCTGTGTTCTGTGACATACCCCATCTGTGGGTGGTAAACCTTGGCTTCTGGCTGTAGTTTACCATCATGAGGCTGTTTTTAGAGAAGACTAATGGATGTCTCCAGAGCAAGGGGGAAGAATGTTAGCCCAGTCTGCTTAGAAACAGCCTTTGAGTGTTCTAGCTCCAGCCTCTTCAGAGTTTACACCAAGTAGAACATAAACTTTTTTTTAAAACAATCATAGAAATATGGCTAAATTGAAACAGAAGAAAGGAAATCAGACATTCTGTTCCAGGAAAGTGTAAGTAATAGACTCACCATTCATGATCCAAGGCATATCAAAGATCACCATTTTTGCTGAAAGATGAAAAAAAAATTCACTGAATGTGACTTAGTTCTGCTATAGTAATATCACTTAAACCTGGCCTAGCAAAAGCTAGTGTGACTAAAAACTGAGCTGCTTGACTCAATTCTAATTTACTAAAGTGTGAGTGGTGCTAGAACTAAACTAAACTCCTCACAATGGCAAGGGGCCTACCCAGGAGGACCACTTGTGGGAAATGAATAATGCACTACTATTGTCCTTTGGCAAACTGCCTGTTCTTTTGTTCCTTTAATGCTTTTGCTGTTTGCTGAAAGGTACAAAAGAAAATAGTTAAGTGGATAAGTAGAGTTTTTGGATGTGGCATGTCATATTAGTGCTGAAGTCTGCTCAATTTTAAAATTATTTCAATGTCTTATTTATGGTTTCAATGATGATTTTCTAGAGATAATACTCTTACCCTACTCTCACAGTCGCAACCCCATTTTTCATAAATCATTGTTTCAAGAAACAAATTATTCCTAATTTTCTTAATATATGAGTCCCAGGAAGCCAACAATTCCAAAGTATACAGAAGTATTATTTGCATACTTAGATGAAGATATTAAACAGTGCTATTAACAACTGTGAGGAAGAACCAGAAACCACAAAGGGGATTTTTGATATCCAATTCATTCTTCTATTCCATATTAGTCAAAGTAATTTCCTTTTTTTTCTGAGCAGACAACCTCCTAGAATGATTATATTAATGCAGGACAAGTAAAGGTCATGTAAGGAACACAGAATCAGCAAAGAAGTACCCTGGTGCTTAATACCTCAGTCTTTCATCTGGGATATGCCTAAAAAGATTTAGACTCAAGATTTTAAGAATAACATTTATATTTCATGATATGAGAAATTCTGAAGCATAGTGATTTAAGATTCTATAAAATTCAATGTGTGAAACTATATTACATAGCTAGAATACATACAGTATCTCATTAATTGGAATGAATAGTGTTTCAACTGACCATTATACAGACCCATGAATTGTTTTCTCAAAAGAATCCTGGATGTGTTTATAAAGTAATAATGATATGTATACTATTTATAAACGGCTCTTCACAAATTCTTTTAGATATTTCAATGAACAACTGGGTATTTTATTTTCATTTTGTACATAAAAGAAGCTAACAATGTGGCGTAGTGATTCTCTGTTGATCACTGACTGGCACTGCTCAGCAAGCCTTAAGGAATCAGGGTATATGCCAGATCCAGGAAGCAATCAGAAAGAGCTAGAGATCCTACAGGTTCCCCAAACCAGACATACTCTTCATTTGCAAATACTCAGCAATACTCGAGTTTTCTCCAAATATGAGAGCACAGGGCTGGGGGGGCACTGATCCTTGATATCCATTGTGCTTCTTGTCTGTTCCTCACTTCACATTAATTATAATATGAAAGCATGCCAAAGGGAAATGATTTGGGGATTCTGTGCTTTAGTGTCACATGTCCCAAAAGACCCTCACTGTGGTATTTGCCAGAAGTGTGCCCAGGCAGACCTGTGAGCTTCCACTTTTGGATATCCCTGTTGCCTCTCTTGTGTCTTCTCACTTTCAATCCACTGGAGTTAAAAATATTTGACTGTTTATGTGGGATGATATCTTGATTTCTCCAGGGGGGAACCATCATATAAATCCAAGAAATAAAAAATGAATTTATAAAATTCAGGAGTTCTTCGTTAAGGTAATTAATGAAGAATCACAATTAAAAACAAACAAACTCCAAATTCCAGAATCGAATATAGTGCATTCTAGTCAAGTGTTTTCTTAGGGACAATTTTTAAACAGCAATTAGTAACATAGTGTACATTTTAAGTATTGCTTAACACGCAGTATACCTTATGTATCAGTATTGCTTATCTGTTTCTTGCAATTAGTAACATGGTGTACATTGTAAGTATTGCTTAACACACAGCATACCTTATATATCAATGTTGCTTATCTGTTTCTTGCATGTAAGAAGTTTCATACAGTATTATCTTAAATGAATTTCTCAATGTAAAGATTAGTAAAAATGGGATAATCTTGGAAATAAATGCACATTTTTATGTCCCTATATGTATATGTGCGTTATAGGATGCCATATATACAGCTTGGAACTTGAGCTCTTAAAATAACTGACAAGGACAGTGATTATTCATGAAAAATTTCACCTGTACCTACTAGGATATGCACTTAAACTTCTATGAACACAATTAGGTTCTTCATCAGAAAACAATGCTTCAGACATTAAAGTCTATACTGATTATAAAGCTCCACAATTCTCAGATTGTCTATAGTTTCTATGTTATATTTTTATAAAGGAGTAAGTTACTTACAGAGGTATTTAGGGTAATAAACCTTAAAGCAGTTGATGATAAAGCGTACAAAGTCCATGTCCTAAAATAAAGATTATACATTTAAATTTTTAGGATTGTCTGTATTATAATTTTAAATGGCACATTTCTAAAGATGATAGATTATTAAATACAAATGAGACAATTATTAAATTCTTAAAAAAACCTCATATATATCTATATTCCCAGTGATTAAGGTTTTAAGTCATTAAGCTACTTATAATAATCCTAAATTTGAGTTAAATCAGATGCTTAAACATCATGTTACCTCAAACTAGTTAGATACTTCAGGCTGCTAAGGTAATGTGACATTATAAAATGGATCTGAAAGCAATCCCTATAGAGAAATTCTAAAAATCTTTCCAACAATTAAAGAATTACTGAAAATAGTATACAGTTTATAACCTGACTACTTGGAATGATACTAGGTATGTACGTAAATTCCGGTATATTGCTTTTTAAATCTCATTTTTATACCTTATAATAGCGTCAATAAAATATATTTAATCAATTTTTTATACAATGGTTAACCTGATCATACTGGCCTACTGTATCAGCTTCACTTCGAGCTTCTTTCCTCTTATTTAGGTATGAATAATTAGGGACCAAATAGTTAGGGACCTATTAGTTTATATTCAGATGTTGTTCATTGACTCAAATTTCTGGGAGACTTTATAAACAGAGATGTCTGTTCTACTGCATTGAACACAGCAACATGAAATTAGGTTATTGGGGTTACTGTTCACATGGATCATTTCATTCCATGTTTTTCCATGGCCACAGGTTGACTTACTAATCCTGATCAGTCATCTTATAAGGACTGTAGACTGAAAGACATAATCAGGCAAACTTAAAACTATCAGTTACTGAAAAGTGGGTTGTCCTAGAGATGAGAGTCTATAAGGTCATTCCTAGCATGTGAGTTGCAGCATCTTTAACTCCAGTAAACTGAAAGTAAACATCCTTAAGTATCTATTATGGGATAAATCTCAGTATATAATACCTTCATAACTAATTATATCCACTGTGCACATAGTTTAATAATTTGTAGGTGAGTGAGAGTCAAATGTCTAAAAATAATTACATAAAAACCTGCTTACCTAGTATCTAATCTGTGGCTCCTGGAGACTTTGCCTAAAAAGTCTTTGTTTAATATTCTTGTTTTCATCTTAATAGAATAGCCTTTCTTATAAAATGCCAAGTTACCGGTAATTCAAGTGGATCTGATAGGATGCCACTGGTGTAAATATATTAGTGGGCACTACATAGAAAAGCTCTATGAAACCCATGGCTCTGCATTCTGTGAGGATGTTGACTTTCAAGGACACTATTTGTTATCTTGTATAATGTCTTCCCTTTGGGGACCCATGAAAGACGTTTCTCTCTGGTTCAAGTATCAGGAAAGGTGACATTTCTAAGCCACTGATTTTAAAGTATGGCCACTGAATAATTTTAAATGATTCCATTTCTTTCAGGTAGGCGACTGAAAGCTTAGAGCCAAGCTAGTGATATGGCTCTAATAAATACTTAAAAAAATTTTTTGCCTTGTAATTCTGTATACATCTTTATAAACCAACTTAAATCTTTTGTGAATTGTGAGAGGGTCATACATAAAAATAATTCAGTAAGATTTGGGTGTTTTAAAACATTTAATGATTCCAATAGTAATGGAAATAACTTTGTTTATAAATTAAAGATAATGAAATAGCATATAAGTAGCTCAAAAAAAGGAGCAGCTCAAGTCAATTCTTTGCCCCTATATTTGGCAGTAAAAGAAACATTAATTTTTCTTGATTCTGGGTTAATAATTAGAAAGCTATCACACACAAAGGATAACAGTCATGATTTATTTTTATGGAATATTTATCTAGGTGTTTTGATTTAGATTTTGGGTATTAAACAGTTTAATCTAAAACTCACTGACTTGGAAAGTAGACTGAAAAAATCCAAGGCAGTGGACCCTTAAAATATAAATAAAAATATAGAAAGATGAAAAAAAGAAATATGTGGTCCCCCCAAAATTCTTATTCTCTCTAGCTTGCTTTTTGTTTGGTTTTCTAATGTCTAAGGTTTCCCTTTTTGGGGCTAGATATCATTATGAAATAATCCTGTCACCTTTTTTCATTATTCATTGAAGTATTTTCCAGTATTTCTACAAATTCTTTATAAATACCATTTTATACAGCTACACATACTCCATCAACTAGATACACCAGAATTTCCCATTTCACTGTGTTGGCATTTACATTTTTTTCTAATTTTTCACTATTTTAAATGACACCCTGAAAAAACATTTTGATGCACAATGCTTGTTCTGTATTCAGGATTATTTCCTTAGAATAGATTTCCAGAAGTTAGTTACCAGGCAAAGAGGATGACTATAAACCCTTTCAGGTTCTTATCTACTTTTCCAAATGGATTTTCAAAAAGGTTTCAATACTGTCCCAGGTTAGGTGTGTGAATGCCACTTCACTGCCACCAGAATCAGCCAAGGTGTGAATATAAGAGAGAACAGCTCTAATACATGTGCCAAGGGATCTCCACTGCTGCTGAAGGGTTTGTAGTTGCCACTAAGGTCACAAGGGCTCAAATTAAGACTGGTAGGCTTTACTTATTTAAGCTTGGCAAAAATCACCTGAAGAAAACTGGTTTCCAAAGCTAACCAAACAAACAAATCCCAACAAGTAAACAAAAAACTTCAACAAATCACAAGGTGCTTGTATACGCAAAACTCAGGTGAACATCTTGTAACTGCAAAACGTGATATGAACTTAAGGGTGAGAGAGAGAGAGCGTGCATTACTTTATGCAGTATTCACTGAATGTACTGCTCTGTGCCAGGCACAGGGTTAGGTGGGGTAGGGTATTAGTTTTGATAGAAAGGTTCACTGTTATGACATCTATTCACTACCCTGCCGGCCCTGACATCCTACCCTCTATATCCTGTGTATCAGACAAGGGACATTTCTAAGAAATCTACCGTTTCAATACCAAATATGGAAGCAAATTTATTTCTTTACAAATTCTATTCCATGTTTGACTTCACCCACAATGCAAGGGGAAAAAGAATTCTAAACATAACCTGGTTAGCTCAATTTTACTGCAATATTTGGTTGGGGGGAGGGGTGGAAGGACACCATGATAAACAATGATTTAGAATTAAAGAAAAATGCTTACAATGCTGTTTATTCCAGTTTCTGACAGGTCAAACATCACTGTTACAGGTTTCCCATTTTCTCTTTTAGCATAACGTTCCAACCAGAATGCGATAAGCTTCTTTTTGTCCAATATGGTTTTAGGGTCTTTTACATGGTACTTCACCCTGATCCAGACTTTTGCCAGAATATAAGTTGAAAAAAGGAAAAATATTTATGGCATTATAATATTATTTTATACATATATCATTTCTTTCTCTTGGTATTTTTCTTTATTTATAATTCATTTTGTTCCTCAGGTATAAAAAAAAATCTTTTTTCCTTTTAAATTAGAATTAGTGTGCACTTGGGAACCTTAATAAAGAGTAGCAGATAAAGGTAAACTTTTTCCCCTTAAGAAATAAACAAAACTTCACTAGAAAGCAAGGGGAAAAGAAAATAGAGGCGAACAAACAATAACTGTTCATAACCTAAAAAGTACTCTTCACTGTGCTTAACAGAAAAGAAAGCCATTGGTTCTGTCAAGCACTAGAAAGAATGTTCCACCCAGAGGAAAAGCCCAGACAGAGGCATGAGGGAGGTGTGAGCCCATGCTGGGCATGTGGGTGGAGCATGGCAAACTGTTCAGATTGGTGGCAGCTAAGACCAAATGTGACAAGTGGTGACAGGAGATGCTAAAGAGAGCGACAAGGCCTGGGCTTGAAGGACTCCGAGTGAAATGCTAAGGCATTTTGATTTTCCTATTTAAAACGTCTTGGCAGAGGCATAGAGGGCAGCCTGGAAGAGGCAGGGAAGGAAAGCCAACAGGCTGCCCCTGGGAAGGCACTGGGGTGGGGATGCTTATGGCCTGACCAGAGGGAATGCCAGTGCACACGGATAAGTAAATGGGGAGCCATGTCCAGGGAAGAGCCCATGGCTGTGGCCCTGAGCTGGGCAGCACAGAGGACAGGTGGTGGGGTGCTGTTCAACTGTATGTTGTGTTGAAGATGGTTGACAATCTGGTGGCATCCATCAGTGGGTAGGTGGGTATGTGTGTGCACATGGCCTGGGGACAGTGTGGGGTCACTGCTGTTTGGGGGTAGGCAGCTGAAGATGCCAAGTCACTTGAGATCACCCAAGGAGTCTGTATCAGCTGGAAAGTAAAAGAGGCCAAGAAAGGAATAGCCTGGGAAGCACATATAAGGGGCAGGGGGAGTAAGAGAGAGAAATGAGGGAAGCAGATGGAGGAGGAGCTGGCAACAGGAGCAAAATGCTCAGAGAGTACTGTTTACACCGGCACAGACCACAGGCCACCCGGAGGGCAAGCCAGGTGTGCGCTGACACTGCAGGAAGATGCTCTGCAGGGATGTCTGCTCAGGATGGGCTGCGGGCACTCCTGCCAAGTCCCCACCTTAGCAAAACCCAGCTGGATTTTGGACAAAGGGGAGAGAAGAGTAACAAGGGAGTCATGGGACCACAGGGATGATGGTTCCTCTTCCTCTCGAGGTCACACAGACTTAGGAAAACGCTAATGGGAGAAAACTGGGAAGTTTGAAAAGAAAAAGTCCATTTAGCAACCCTTAGTGACTGTCCCATAAAGACTTTCCATAAGAATAGTAGGTTGAATTTTAATATCAGAAAATCAGAGGATAACGACTCTGCATTACATTATTTTGGCTATGACAGGATGTGGCATTTGTCTTCCCCCTTTGTTATAATGCAAACAGTACGTACTACTAAGTATTTGAAGCTTTGTGAAAGTGGCCCTAACAATCCTCAATTGGAGGAAACTTGACGTGTGGTACATATGGAGAAAGTTCTGCCTATTACTAATGGAGATAGATAACTACATCGCAAAATCTTGAAAAGCCAGTACATAAATATACTCACATAGCTTGTTGCCTTCTTTGTCATAACCATGGAGATAAATACCACCAAGTTCCAATAACCATCTGGGAATGGAGGATTCAGTCAGGTCTAAAAAGTGATAAACTCTGGTGAGTAATTGTAACTTAGGGGCCTTTAAAAAGAAAACTTACAATGTAAAGGTTAATGTTAAATAGTAGTCCTGATATAAAGTAAGAATGAACCTTCCTCAAACATCTGGAAAGAACCTCTGGCAATGAAAAATGGCATTTCTTACTAAATAAACAAACTACATAAAGACATAGATCAGTGAAATGGAAAAATTCATTTCCCTTTACACGCCAGCCATCATTATGTGAACACATTTCCATGCTCTGGTTGTGTTCCACATGATGATTGGCAACAGATGTCATCACTATTGGACAATTCCAAGAGAACAATGCCAGTGAATATCCATGTCACAGCCTCAGAATTGACGAAAAAAATCACTGTGCTTTCTCTAGTATTTTTCTACAGTCTTTGATATCCAGTAGAGTCTAACACATTTTATGGTCTTAGGACAAGTAGAAAATAGTTTAAAAAAAAAAAAAGGCTGGATCCTTTAGCAGGAAGAACAAAAAAGGGCCTGTTCATTCTCTACTGAGGCCAGAACCAACACAGCAAGGCAGTAAATGCCAAGGCTTTTGTTTCATTCACCTGAGAACTTTCAAAGCTTTCTTTATCTTTCCTCACCACCCCCACCTTTTTTTTAATCATAGCTCTGCTGTCCACTACTAGAAATTAGCAACCTATGTAAGAAAACAACTGTTGAGTTTAAAAGTTTGTAGTTAAATGATTTAGAAATATCATACATATATTTCTTTCCTTAATAAATGCTTCACTGTCAGAAGTACCTACAGTTTTTACACTTTCTATCAGTTTCTTTCTTAAATACTCCCCTTCTCATGGATTCCTTCTACAAGTATGCAGACTGGAGAGGGTATATGCTCTGGATTTATTTGTTGACTATTTTGTATTAAATCTCCAGACTCAAGTCACTCCAGTTTATAATCCTCAAGGTCAGGAGACCCTCTATAACCAACTGAAAGCAGTAGTTAAGCCAGTTTCTTCCTGTTAAGTTTTTAGGAGGAGAGTTATTATGGGGGGGGGGTTACCTTTCCTGTGAAGAGTTCTTCATATACTTGGAAACTATTATAAAACCTGTCATAAAAGCTATTATAAACCTCTAGGATTTAAAACTGCCATTTGTGGGGAAAATGCCAACCTAGAATTGGGACTTGAATTCAAGAATTTAAGAGAAGGCTGCCATAGGCATCCTTGGGAATATGCCTGCTTTTTGGAGGACCCCCATTCATTTAGTAATTATGCATGGAGCACTGATTAGCACAGGAACTCTGGAGATAAAGACATAAGGGAGCAACTGGAGAAAACAGGCAAATAGTATCTCCTTACCTCTTGGCCTAGTAGTGAAAATGCTGTCTTGCTATTGTTTAATGATATTAAACTAAGCAGAGATTAGGTGACTCTGCTCTGAGTGAAGAATACCAGTATGACTCTGCTTCCCTGGTGATCTGATTTCCTTATGAATGATTGATTCTACTTTTAAGACTTATTCATAAGATGCTCCTTTCAAAGTGTTACTGGGTCTTTATAAAACATTATATCTTGGTGTTTATGATGATTATCAAAAACATCTGCAAATAAACGATTAGATAAACAGAAAACTAACATTTACACAGAGCTTAGTATACTGTCCATGTTAAATTGAACAGCTTACCATTGACGGACATTTCTTTCCTCCACTGAAAACTCTCATCAAGCATTTTCAGAGTTTCATCTACAATATTATGTCTCCAAAATAAGTAATTTTCAACCCAGTTATCATCTTGCTGTAGCCTTTCAATATCACGTGGATCATATTTATCTGGCTTATCTGGGTGGGGGAGAATAGTAAATATCCAAGTCAGGTAAATTTTGCAGTGAATAATAACAAACACTAATGCCAAAGGAAAAGAAAGACCCAGAAGACAAAGCTAAGCTATTTGAAGGTCAAGACAGGAATGCAGTTCAGATGAAAATGCAATTTAAAGAACTGGTGAAATTTCTAAATGTAAGAAGAATAAAGTTATCTAAATATTGAGGATTTACTTTAAACAAGCCACTATAGATAAAAAAAAAAAAATTAGACCATAGTAAAATATTTTGCATGACCCTCTCTAAAACTATGAACCCACATCTGGGAAGATCACTTACGTTATCTAAATTTGAAATCCTTACCCTAGTCAATGAAAAATGAAATTTTTTATGTAAAGAAAGAACTAAGTTGTACTTAAAAAGATATTTGTTTGGCAAGTGCCATTTAAAAAAATGAACTAAATACAAAATGGAAAACTATGTATGCAGTAATCATTTCTGTAATTCTTTATTGAAATAATTGTTTCCAGTAATAATTGCTCATTATCTGCCTACACACATACGCTATGTTCTTAAGAACCTCTACCCTGATATTCCTCCTTCCATGCCCTGTTCTCAGTTTTTCTGTAACGGAACTTTCCTTGTCTCCTCACAACCACCTCTGCACATCCAAATTCTACCATTCTCCAGAACTCCTCTTCAAATGTTTCTTCTTCCATAACATTTGCCCTGAGCCCAGAGGTAACTCCTTGCCTCCTGTGAACAGCTACAGGACTCAACCTCAGCCTTTTTGTAGGCACATAGCCCACGGCCCCTTGAATCAGTTATTGGCACGTGTGACTGACCTTCCCATAGAGAGACTGTAACAACACAGTCTATACATTCCAAGAATCCTTCAAAGCAGATTATAGTAGTGCCAACTGAAAAGGCCTTCAGGAAACATCTGTTGACTGAATCTATTCCTTCTCTATTTTTATTTTCTTGGTTAATGGTACCCTCCCTGGTGCCCAAGTAAGAACTTCAGAAAATTCCTGGTTCTTTTACCTCCATTTTTTATTTTTTTTGCATCTAGTTGGTTGTCAAGTTTTATAGATTCTTTCTCCTATTTCCTCCACCTTATTTCAAACCATCAGCGATAACAGATGTAAGGGCAGGAAAGTATGAAGTACATCCAGAGACTCTTCTTGAGTCTCAATTTCCTTGTCTGTAAGCTGCTTTAGATACTCACAGGGTTGTATAAAATCAGATGAAAGTGTACATATGAAAGTACTTGCAAGTTTAAAGCACCATAAAACATTAAGGTTAGGCCATAAATCATGCATTTATACAGTGTTACCTTGGATATAGTTTTCAATATCTGGGCTCTATTTTTCTAATTTATACAATGAATGGTTCTGGAGTAGTACTGGAAACCTTTGAAAATGTTTTTTAGCTTTGCTATTTGCAAATTCATCAGTACTTAAAGCACAGCTTTTCTTTAATATTTATAAACACAAGTTGTACATGAAAGAGTTTACACTGTTTCCAGCATAAGAGGCCCCCCTGAAAGTGCCTGTCCCCTGAACAAACATCCAGTTTGGCTACTGGCCAGCCCTCTCCACTGGACCAATACCATGTTTTTCTTGAAATTACAGGCTGGCTTCATTTTCAAGGAAAATTTCTGCCAAACACTCAAGTCTTAATAAGCATAGTTTACTTGCCAGTTGTTCTTTCAAATAAAAATGGTGGTCTGTGAAAAAATTAATTCAGCTGACAACTCAAACATGCAGAAGTGTTTAATGTATACTTTGCAATTTTAGCATCACACAGAATGCTAAAAGGATGTGTTCTCAACGGTCAAAATTTAATAAAATTTACTGTTTCATAAGGGACTTTATAATTGTTCTTTAAACTGAGAGTGGCAGCGACAAAGACTACAATGGCCATTAGCCTTGATCTGGGCTGAGGAGCCAGCAGTTCTGCCCACTATTGCTTCTGTGTAACCAGCGCAAATGTCAACACAGTGAAAAAAGGCAAATGACTTCTTGGTATTATTATGAAAATAGTTTTGACCTTTCATGCTCCTGAAAAGAGTCCTGGGCATCCCTGAGGGTCCACGGACTAAACTCTGAGAACCACTGACCTAGAACAATATGTGGCAAATGGTAAAAACAGTATTAGCTGTAATTTGAACAAACCGTTACTGTTGTTCTTGTCATTATTACTACCACTGCTGGTATTCCCTCTATGGGGTCGCCATATACAAGACTGTGCCCATTACTAAGAAATTGAAAGCTGACTGCTCTTGGATAGCTTTTAGGGATACAGATCTTGAAATCAGACATTTCCATTGGTATTAAAATGATTCATTACTGTTATTAATAGAACATGTACTTACATATGAAATGCCTGTTGTTAAGCATTTATCCCTAGACAGAAATGCAAACAGAAAGTGGAAAAGACAGAAGGAGGGGATTGGAGAGTGGGTCATGTAGGGGTGTAGGGAGAGAGGAAGGAGAAAAGTGAGGACAGACGAGGACAGAGAAGAGGGCTGAGGGGAGGGGAGAGAGAATGAGACAGAGAAAAAAAACAGTAAACTGAGCATTCAAGGTAAGGAAAACTTGGCTTGGGACTACAAGGCTACGTGTAATAATAACTGTGCTTATAACAGCACAATTTGCAGCTTTCAAAACAGCCCCCAAACAACTGAACCCTCAAGTGTTAGGGTTTCAGAAAATCAGTCCTTTAATAAGTCCAGATGTTACACGAAGAAGCTAAAGATGGACACTTGGCAAGTATCTGAATATATCAAAACATGCGTGTATGCAACACGCTCCCCCCACTGCACCCAAAACCTACCTGGACATCATTTTGAAAGACTACCTCTCAGTGATTAAAGCAGAGGCCTGAGGAAGTCAGTTTTCGTCACGGAAATGCAGGTATATGTATATACTCTCACCATACCTTGTCCTTCTTACTTTCGTCTTGCTGTGAGCCAGTGAAAACCTCATCAGAAAGCAACACTAATCTCAAGTGGTGGATTTTTAAAGCCTCACCCTTGCAGTTCTTCAAAAGAGCTCAAAGCCTATTTTGGCCACTCCTTCGTTAAGACACCTTAATGACCTATCACATATCTATGGTTCATTGTGTCTATTTCTTATATAAATTTTGCCCTGTAAGTTGGTCTTTTATTTATACAGTATATTGCCACCAAACAAATTGTAAGGTTCATAATTTGGCAAAGAAAAAATAAAGACAAATGGCAATGGTGATTCACCTCGGAACATACAATACTAAATGTTCCAGGGTAAAGATGACTTCTCAGATATTTATCCCTTTTCTGCATGTGCACGTGCAAGCACACACACACACACACAACCCTTCCCATTGTCTCTTGCATATACACTTGAAAAAATTTTTAAGCATTGCAAGATACAGAGAATACAGTTCTTACTGGTAAAACAGCTAATTCCAGCATTAACTTTTCTTTTGTTCTCTTGTTACTTGTTGGCTGGTAAATTAGCCATGGTCAGAAACTGTGTTTTAAGGTTAATGAGTATGAAAAACTTCCTAGCCAGATTCAGGACACAGGGCAGAGTGATGGAATCAGAAGACCCATGCTCCTAACTATGTATAGGGAGACTGAGCAAGTCACTCTGGGCCTGATTTTCTTTGTAAAATGGAGGAAAGGTCTGTCTACTCCTAGTCTGATGAAGATCAAGTACACCTTGAAAATTTTAAACACTATACAAATGAATTTTTATTAACATAAGATAGAATGCTACTTATGAATATAAGACTAAATACTAATTGACCTCTATTAATCAGTTGAGAAAATCTTGGAAGTATGCTGTAGTTATAAATGTGCCTAGAATTCAGATAAAGGTTAAAAATACAAAAGTATTCCGATAATAAAACTAGAGAAATGGGGTGTCATGATGTATACAGAAGCAGCAAATAGACAATTACCAAAATTATAGTAGTTTAAAACCTCTTAGGATTTCTTATTTCTCCAGGACTCTGAGCACTGATCGACTAAAAGTCCTGGGGGGCTCTGGAAGGGCATTTATTTGCCTTTGTGTTGGATGGACCACTTCTATTGGGTGGTCTGTGTAAGTGTCCACAATGGGCGTGATGGGGCTGCAACACCAAACACTCCTTTAGGGGTATCCCTCTGCTAGCTGGTCACAGCCTACACTGAATACTCACTTTCTTGTGAAGCTCTCCAGTGAGAGACTGAGAGGCTGGTGATCTTTTATGATGGGATTAAGTCACTGGCCTATACAAGTGATTTGCAAACTGTAGCGCCTATCAGAATCATCAGGGCGACTTGTTAAAACAGGGATTACTGGGCCCTATCCCTAGAGCATCTAATTCATGGGTAGGAACCTAGAATTTGCCTTTGTAACAAATTTCTACAGGGTATTGATGCTGCTGCTCCAGGGACCACACTTTGAGAACCACTAGTCTATTATAGGGGTTGGCAAACACCAGATGGTAAATATCTAACTATTTTAGACTTTAAAGGCCACATACGGCTTCTGTTGCTGATTCATCTTTGTTTTTGTTTTTTTAGCAACCCTTTAAAAATACAAAAACCATTCTTTGCTCAAGGGCCGTACAAAAATAGGACTTGGCTGACCTCTGGTCTGTTAGAGAGGGGAGGTGCTTTCTGCTTCCGCTCCTGTCCTTCAAGAGATAGAGTCATATGCTGGATATGTCAGAAGTACCTACATACATACATGAGACATAATACATGAGATGATAAATCTCTTCATTTATCTATTCAGGTCTTCTTTCAATATTCTTCAATAACATTTGATAATTTTCTTCATTAAAGAAGAAAAAACTTGGACATTTTTTCTGTTAGCTCATTAGGCAGCTTAAGAGATTTTTACGTTTCTGTCATGGGCTAATGACAAGATTGGCAAACCTTAGACCTCTTATTTTCCTTGCCATATTGATAACTGGGTTACATACTGTAGAATTACAGAAATACTAGTGGAGACTATTGTCTTTTTCCTGACTTTAGGGGAGTTA